AAAACAAGTTCTAAAAATGTTGAAAATAAATAAAACTAGATTGCAAAAAGAGCTGAGCACTTGGCATGTTAAAAGAGTTAAAGGTGTCGACTTTAATATAAAATCTGCTCATTAAACTCTTCCAGCCCAGCTTAAGCCAAAAAAAGAACTTAAATTAAAGAATTTTAGAGGCTGCCCTTAAGCTTTTTTATGCTTGATAAGCATAAGCTTGTTTAAATAAAAAACAAGCGAAGAAATGTTAAAGGAGATCAAAATACTTCAGTACCCGCCGAATTTGTTGGCTCATTAATAAGCAAAACTTCAACTCCTTCAAATAAAACACAAAATTAAAGTTTTATAAAAGCCAAAATGAGCTTTTCGAGTTTGGGTGAATGAGTGGAAAAGTTTTGACAGCTGCGCCAAGCAGTCAAGCTTTAAGTTCTTAATAAACTGGGCAGCATGTTTAAAGCCCTTGCCCCTGTGACTGCAGTTGGACTAGAGAGGCTTGCAGCAGATGTAATTAGAAACAAACAAATCCGGTTAGTTGTAATGGGATTAAAAAAGAGGGTCAAACTTTAAAACTGTCAACCCTCACAGAATCTAACTAAATGTAACTGCATAAAAGTTTGAAATTGTTGGCAAATTAAATTGCGCTTGGATTCACAAAACAAGCAAAAATTAAATTATGTCAAATAAATTGAAATCTTTTTGTGCATCTCATTTTAATAAAAAATAAAAAAAAAACAGTGGAACGGGCAGTGCACAAATCAAATTATGTTAATTAAACGCACACAACAAAACCGAGCTGAAATTGTTGGCCAAGTGGCAGGATTTTTTGTTGCCGCACAATTTAACAAACAGAGCGGGGAAAGGGCGAGTGGGGCAAGTGGTCAGGGGTTGGCCAGGTAAATGTTATATATATATTTTGCAAGACTTGAGCCGGGCAGAAAAGGCAATCCTTTCGCTTAAGCTTACTGGCGACATTAACTGGCCAGCAGGACGATAAGGACGACGGCAGTAAAAACAAAAGCGCAGACGTCGTTGCTTCAACTCACAAATTGTCGCAAATTAACTCAATGAGTGGCTCTTGTACGACACTTCTTCTGAAATAATTCAATTATGGAGCCAAATTGCCGACTACGACAGATGGTCGAGGGTAGGTCGCAGGGAAATGTGTGAAATGTGGCTATACAACTTTTCATGTCGTTCTTTTTGGCCGTTAAACAGTGTTATCTAACTTTGGCTTCGATCAAAAGAAGTTCACACACTTGCCTCGCCATATTCATTGCTCGGGCGTCACACGCCGCGTATACGTAATGTAATTGCCAGTTATTGTCATAAAAGTGCAGTAGATGGGCAGAAAGAAAATGTAATTACGTGACATGTCCACGTGGCACTGACGCCCATCGATGATTATATAATCGATATAAAAACAGACAACAATTGCCGTTGCCTACGTTGGCTCCGCATGCAAAACCCGACCAAAGGCTTTCAATTGTTGCCAGTCGATGTCGATTTTTGCTTTCGCACACAGTCGCCAAGACAAGGGTCAACTTTGTGGCCAAATTACCAAGCAAAAACCCCAGCGACCAAAATAAATGTTTGCCACTAAAAATAGCGCAAAGGAATAATCAGCGAAACCAACGACCAACAAAAAAAAAATACAACGAAATGCGGTCAGGATATGTGTGCAAAAAGGGAGGGTTATCGTAGGAAAAAGAAACCGTGCTGCAAAAAATTTATGTGTTGCACGGCGAAGCGCAAACGAGCGCAGAGAATAGGTTTTCTTGCAAGCATCATTTGGCAAAGCTCATTGAAAACAACAAATTCCGAAATTATGTAAAGCCATTTTCGTTTTTTAACTACACATTTAAGCACTCTATCAAACTTGAAGAAGCTTTCGTATCATCAGCATAATTCTTACGAAATGCATAAATAGTCTAGGTATATATAGTCGAGCGGCTTATCCACTTCAATAGTTATTATCCCGTTAAGGGAATCAGAATAAAAAAAAACCTCAAGTGGTGGCCAAGTCAAAGGCAACAACTAGAAGCCAGTCGGGGCCTGTACACAAAAGCGCAAAGCCAAGAAAATGTGGCAGCAGCTCTATCGACAGGATTGGCGAGAAAAGCACGGCTAAAAATGGGGTAAGATGGATAAGCGCCACACAAAACGGGCAAAGATGAAGTTTTTCGCGTTGCTCTCAGTGGCGTCTCCGAGCCAAATGGAATAACACGAAACTTAAAAGTAAAAAATAAAATAAAATGCCAAAAAAAAACACAAAAATGTGGCAACTAAAAGTCAGACTGCGTCTCCTGCGGAACGGCAAGCGAACAGCGAGCAGGTTGTTTCCCTGGCCAAGGATTCTCCGCGGCAATGGCGACAGCGGCTGCCTTTCATAATATCCCTCAACTGTTGTATGCCACTCAGCAAAGTTTTTTTTTCGAATCTCGGGTCAATATTAATAGCTTCTGTGCTCTGGCTTGAAATGCATTTTTTTTTAAACATATTTATGAGCAATATTTGATGGCAGCGATTGCTTGTTAAATGAGGTACACGGCGCGTATACGCAACCTGCTAAACATTTTAGTTTTAACTTAGCTTTTAAATATGATCGCCAGCTTTGACAGCCAGCTTCACTAGTTTCGTGATTATCTTTTGCATTTTTCCGATTAAGTAAATCTTGTAGCTCATATTTACTTATTTTTACCACATCTTTTTTTAAATAGTTCGACATAATAGTAAGACCTAATCAGCAAAATTTTTAGTAAGACGGAAACCTATGAATTTAAGTGTGTATTTTTTTGTTACGGTTTTGAAAATATTTAAAAATCCAGGATTCGATTATAGTTTTAAATATATAATATAGGAAAAACCAAGGCTTGAACCGAAACCTGGGTCCATGGATTTCGGAAATTAGGTTCTCGAACGGAACCTGGCTGCGAGGTGTAGGTGCGTACCGTTAATCAATTTACCGACCATTTAGTCAAAAGGCCATTTCAGTCTTTTTTACCCTAAATTAATTATTTTATCGTTCTTGAAGCTTTTAAAAGAGCGCCTTAAGCAAAAAAGCGAGCCAAAAGCACAACGGACAATGCAATTAAATAGACATGAAAATATGTTAGGCAACAATTTGGTAAGACGACAGCAAATTAGCGGCAATTTGATCAACATGCGTGAAAGCTAACTGAATCAATAAACCAAAAGAAAATACTTCAAGGTCAATCAAAATTGGGTGGCTTTCAGCCGTGGCGTTTTAATAAATGAATTGCTGATTAAATGAAGTTGGCAAAAGCAGCCGAAAAGGAAATGAAACAAAAAATTGGGCCAAATGGCCGCACACTGCCAAAAATCGAGAGCAAGCAATGCGTAAGAAATTGTGGAACAAAATAAAATTGCGTAAATGTGTCTGACAGAGGGACGCTGTAGGCCGATGGGCACAGGCTGCGCACGGTGTGTGCCATAAAATCAGAAGCAAGGCAAGGTTAAACCAAGCAAAAGCCTGTCACAGATGAGAATGCGACTAGCGAAATGTGCGCAGAGACACCATTTTATGGCCGATGATGGAACCGCGGCAGAAGAGGCGCGGCGAGGCGCGGCGAGGCGGGGCGAGGCGAGTGGGCAATGAGGGCGACGCAGGCAGAGCAAACGCTAGTCAGGCCAAACGGCGCTGATGAGAATGAAGGAACAATAACAAAAACAAATATCCGCCTGCGGGCCGCACAAAGCCAATGAACGACTGTCCAGCTCTCTGCTAAGTAGAGGAATAGGACGGGCGACCAACATAACATACATGCACGTATGTATGTATGTGTGTACATTTATATGGCGAGTTAGGAGGAACGGCGGCAAACGACAGAAACACGCGCCGGCTTCTACGAATGAGTATAAAACGCATATACGAATGAGTAAAAAAGGAATCGAATTGGACCACTTAAGCCGCGCACAATAGCGGACCAAACCTATGGGAAAAGTTGAGAAGTGTAGCAAGAAAGCACCTTTTATAGCCTACGGCTGAACCTAATACACTTAGCAAAGTGTAGGTGCCTAGACCCTTACTGAACAAAGTTATATATGTTTAACTTTAAAATTGAGTTAATGCTATAGCAAAGTAAGGTTCATAATCTAGGCGATCTTAATTTAAGGTGTAGGCTCTCAAACCAATTTTTTAAGACCCTTAAAATGAGGGGATTAGGGATTAAACATAAGTGACCCAAACGGTTCTCGACCAATTTGTTGCTCTCCATAAAAACATAAGTAATATGGGAATTAAATGAAGTCTAATGCAAACAAAAAAATTACAAATAGCTCCTAAATAGGTCAACAAGTTATATTACGCCTAAAAATCCTTAAAAAATAAAGTGAAAACAGAAAAAAACCAAAATGATTTTAAGAGATCTGTTGTTTGTCCAGACAGATGTGCTTGACATGGGGCAACGTTCTGTACATAAAACAAAAACAAAAATAAAAAACTTAATGGATTTGACTAACGGACCGACTTGACTCACCGTCGACCTGGGGAGGGGGGTTGGACCGTTTGGCGGGTCTCCAAAAGGGCAACAAGAAAATTGCCGCGAGCCAGAGACAAAAAAAAAATGAAGCGAAAAAAAGAAACTGTGTGAAAACAATTTTAAAAAGTAATTTACGTGTTCGCCAGAAAAAAAAGAGTCGCCGCGTTTTATTTATATTTATGAAATTTGAGGCGAAAAAGTTGTTCAAAAGTAAAGTGCTTTTAGGCACCATCCCCAGCCCCAGCCCCTCGCCAATACAACGCATTTGCATTCAAGGGTAAAAATATTGTAATTTTCTCATCGGGGGTTTTGCTTTGCTTTGGTCCACTAATTCGTGTGACTGTTGGTAAGTCTGTGTGTGTTTTATTTTTTGTTTTCTTGTTTGTATTTATGTTTGGTCGCTTTGTTTACGCAAAACCACAAACACAGCTAAAGCTACAATTAGACCGACAGCTGAGCTGAGCTGTAGATAAATCCAAACACACCCACATAATAACAAAAGCTACTCACCTATTAAACACATTCACACACACACACACACACATGTGCGTCGACTGCGGCGCTGGCGTCAAAAGCAAATGCACTCACATTTCGCCGCAAATTGCTTTTGCTTTACTTTTCAAGTATTTTTTGACGTCTCTGCCTGACTTTGTTATTGTTTTTTTTTTATTATTTATTATTATTGTTTGTGTTGGTTTTTGTTGCTGTAAGTTATTCTGCCTGCCTGATAACACGAGCGGCGTTTTGGCTGCGGAAATTGCGGGTGAATGTGAATTAGAAAAATGCGACAAATCGCTTTACGCTGCACTTCACAAGCATTTGTTTGTTATTGTTGTTGTTTTTTTTTTTTGTAATATTTCTGAAAACATTAAACTGTTGATTGCGTTCAAACACTAATTCGCTTGCTGTTGCTTTTATTTGTTATTTATATTTGCTATAGATATTATGCAAAACTGTTTGCTCTGCTGTTTTTTACAACCGGCGGCAATTCCGCATACGTAGTGTAGCAGCAGCTTGGGTTCGAGCAGCTGGCGGTGGGTGGACTAGCGCTGTCTGAGAACTGCCCAATTTCCAGTACGACTTTTTCACAGCACGACGACACGTTGAGCACTGAGCGCCGTTTGCCACCAAAAATTCTGTGCGGGTCTTGCTAAATTACATCGTACCCAAATGGGTTCTTTCTTTCTCTTTCTCTCTCTGTCGCTCTCTCTCTCTCTCTCTCTCTCTCTCACTCTCTCATACACATACACTATTGCTGCCTTATAGACGCTTTGGTTCACATACTCTCTTTTTCTCGCTCTCTCTTGCACATGCTTTTGCTCTCTCTCTGAGGCATTCGTGTTCTGCAGCTTATTAGTTCTGAGCGCAGCTATTGTTGTCTTTTCGTTGCTCCAGTTCGCTTTGGCGCCAGACATCAACTGATAGGGCGATGCGTAGCCAGCAGCAGCAGCGACGGCAGCAGCGACAGCAGCAGCGGCAGGCAGCTTCAGCAGCAGCTTCAGCTTTGGCGCTGCCGCTTACGTCGGCGTAGCATGTGCTACGTTTGTTTACTGTTATTTGGCACACGCCGCTGCTCCGATTCGCTCTCATTGTGAAGCGCTCTCCCAGTCTTCTCAGATGGATGTGGGTGGTGGCATTGACTGCAACAGTGCTGCCGAATTGTCAACATTTTGTGCACACACAAAACAACGGAAAAACGATTTAATTCAATTCAATTTTAAATTTTAATTTTAAAACACCCAATTTTAAAACTTGAAACAAATTTTTGTTTAATTTTAAATTAAAATAACTATTATGTTAAAGAAAAAAAAGTTATGTACGTAAGTTATTTTCTCCGTCAATTCAGGCTTTTCAGAAAGACTACTTGCTGGAAGAACTGACAATAAATATGCATATATCAGACCACTGTGCCTCAATGTTAAGAGGGTTCTCTTTGAATGTGTCTCTGGCGCAGGCGCCATTTTTGTGGGCTGGCGGTTAACGGAATTTAAAGGCGCGTAAAAAGTTGTTGCTCTTCCTTAAGAGCAACCGTTAGTCAAGTACCGCGATCTTAATCAAAATCCGTTAAGCCGTATAACTTCGACTCTGACGAATTAAAAATATTAATTATTTGTTTAATTTCGGTTTAGGCAATTTTAGAATATGTTCTAGAGCAAATAGTTTATTATATGGTTAAGAAAATTAACGCTTATTTCTTATGGAAATCATTTTCTATAATCTTAATATGTAGCCTTGAATATAGAGATGCAAAATGTTAAAGCTTTGTCTAAGCTAACATGAATTAATCCATATGTTCAAAGGTCTAGATGAGCTCACTGTCGCTGGTCACATCGACATCCGTTGCCGTGGCTGCCGTGGCTGACGTTGCTTCTTTGCCCTCATTGGCAACCTCGGTGTCCTCGGCATCCGGTTCCTCTTCCTCTTCCACATCCACTTCCGCTTCGCGCACGCCATCCTCGCAGACCGTCAATGGCTTGCGCTCCAGCAGAGGCCGCGGTGTGCGCCCCAGAAATGTGTTGCAGACAGTCACAATGGACTCGCACTCACCGGGAGCATTGCTAACCACGAACACGCAGCTCTGAATGACGTCGTGCGGCGTGTTGTCCATCAGCTGGAACACTATATGCTGCTCCTCGATGTTGCCGTGCGTGACGAGCTTGCCATGCAAACTGCGGTCGACAGCGTCAAAAAATTCTCAATATGTCTGCATAATTTTAATGCCTGCTCAAAACTTACCCCAACGGCACTCCGGTAATTTTCATTTGCAGCTCGGCATATTTCGAAAGTACATACCCAAAGCGTTCCTTGGCATCGCTATATTCCATCTGCAAGTGGGATGAATGCAAAAAGTAGAACCGAATGCAAATTAAGCTGCGCACTTACGTCCTCAATGCAGTGGTTGGGTGGAATACAAATCGATAGCTGCACAAGTTACTCAATAAATTATATTATATTAAATTAAATTATAGTCGCTGTAGAAATAATCACCGTTTGCCGTGCAAGCAGCACGAGAATCGAGTACAAATAAATATTTCCAGTATAGTCCATGGCTGAACCGCTCAGAGATCGGCTCCAACTTGTAATGGTCGCAGTTTTCCTATTTAAATTAAACCGCGTAAGCGATCCTAACAGCTTGCGTTTGTGTAACGACGCTATAGCGATCAGCTTTTGTCTGTCACGGTCAGCTGTGAATGATTCTGCCGCTGCTATAAACCGCCTGCGTGCACGTTGGCAGCGCAGCTATCTTCAATCTAATCCGGGAAAGAAAAAAGCTCTGAGACCCTATATAAGCCTGTAGGTCCCGGATATAACCCTTCTTGTCAAAAATTACTTTACCATCGAAGGTCTGGCTACGGCGGTTCGGACATAGCCCCACCAAAATATTAAACTAAAAGCAACAAGTTCGGGCATCAGTCGTTTAATTCGTTTAATTTAAATTTCAACTAAATTGAACCAAAAACAAAAAAATAAAAAGAAAAACCCTAAAAGTAACCGATTGGCGAAATAAATTTTTGTTCGTTTGATGATAACCTTTCGCTACGCCACCCGGCCACCAGCACCTCACCGGCATATATTTCTTTGTGCCAAGATCTGGTCACAGTTTAACCAGTTCTTGCCTGCCTGCCGAAAGTAATTTTTGGAGGAATCAATCTTGCCGCCGCCGTCTCTGACATAAAAACCCACTTATTTTGAGGCAACCGCCACGTGTGCCCATTGGACGGCACTGTAATTTCTTGGGACGGCAATGTCATTACTGCCCCCATTAAATAGACGTCAGCCTCAACTGCGGATCAGCTGCCATTTCCTTGCTCATGCCAGCAAGAAAGGGCAGGCGCCGTTTCCACAGTCTGGAATCCGGAAGAGGGAGTAGCCTTTTGGGCCCCATTGACGCGCCGCTGATCAGAAGCCCAGATGACATCGCCCATTAAGTTGGCCGGAGCGTGCAGATGCGTGAAAATTGCTGTTAAATGTTTTTAGTAATAAACTAGTTAATTAAATCTTGTGAGAGACTTCCAAAAGTTTGCGCAAAGTGCATTTAGTAGGGCCCTCTAAAAACCTCGTGCAAGTGCAGTGAAAAAAAAACAAAATTTACATCTATATGTATATCTTTATATATATAGAAAGAATTAATAGTGTAAATTTATCCCCCTTCTTGTTGGGGTAGAGTCCAAAGTCATTTCTGAATTTTTTTTATATTTTTTTTAATTTTTCCCACTTAATTTCGGAGAGTATCTTTTAAGTACTCACAATTTAAAAATTCTCCTGTGCCATAATAAATAATCAAAACAATTTAAAGCCCCACAGAAGACAAAAGAAATCAAATGAAAGAAAAAAAAAAATAAAATTTGCTGCAAACTCTCCGCTGGAAGGCCTTTCATCGAGGAATACATGTAAGTCTGTACCTTTTGTTTTGATTATATTTTCTTATTTTGGCACAGATAAGCACAGCCAAGCTGACATGCGCACCTGCTGAGCTTTTTACGACTTTCTGTTTCGCATTACGCTTTAGCTCCGATCAATATGTTTATGGCCGTGTCAGTCTGGTGAAGGCTTATCATCTTTGATTCTACCTACACCCCGCTCAAATATTAGCTGAAACAGAAGCAACATAAAAGAAAAGATTTCTAACGGAATCAAATATATGTACACAAATATGTATAATTGTATTCGCTGATCAGCTGGTTGCGCTGCGCTCCGATTTGCCCATGCGCTTCGAGCTTAACCTTCTGTTGCCCATATTTTTTTTCGACCATATAATTAACCATCAACTACAACGATCTTGACTCTATTATAATACATTTTTTTTTCTTTTGCCGATATCACTTTAATTCAATTTACTATTGTCATTCCTTTTCATTGCCTAGCCTTATTCTATAATTATTAAATGCACTTTAGCGAAATTTTGAGATTTATTTTTTTAATTTTGCGCAATAAGAAAAAATATCAACTGAATAGTTTATGAAATGAATTATTTTTTTAAGAATTTTTGAGCCATTGTAAAAATATTAACTGACTAGTTTTAGTTACTGAATTATTGTTGAATCATTAATGCCACTTGTCCTAAGATACAGATTATCTAACTGAAGGATTAAATTTCATTGAATAATGCTTTTGTTTATAATAAATATTAATTACGGATTTTGAATATGAATTGCTAAGTTTTCTTTCCTGGTGACATGGTGATATAATGTCGTAGAAGAATGTTTTTTTTGGGATCTTCAAAACCTTAAACGCTGAAGATCATGGCTGGGAGGGTATCGAACGCGAGAGTCAGCTTACATCCAAGACTTCGCCTCTACGGAATATATGTGCCCTAATGAAAGCTATCACCATTCTATTGGCACTTTTAGTGCTCGTTAAGTTATGCCTGTTTGAGATTTTGTTTCTTCGGAGTATCGGTCTTCAATTTAGATTCTGTAGGGATCCTAAAATAAAATTGTGTATGCAGGTCGAGACATGGCAAAAAGAACCCCCCCACCCGAAAGAGCTAGGGAGCAAGAGGATCCCGCCCTGCCATGCTAACTCAACCACGAGGAGCCACGGTGAATACTTCCCGAATTATTTTGTGAAGATTGGCTGCCAACCGCCGTCACCGTTGCTACCCGATATGTATTGCTAGAGTAGCTTCACCACAGTACATGCTACAAACTCCAACTGAATGGAATCAAATAGGCCACTGGCATTGTCTCTGCTTTGCTCTGAAAATGCAGGTGACGTCATAATAATTAAAACTATATGGAGATACAAAAGCTCATTCATTGGAAACTCTCACGGTAAATTACAAAGTTAATTGGCGAGAAAGAGAATATTTTTTATTTGATTTTTAAGTTATACAAATTTGTATGCCTGGAGGAAAACATTTGAAAAACTTAAAGAAAAAAACACCAGTAAATGTAATGTACAAATCTGTTAAAAGTAATCCTTTCAGATACTTTTACCCTAAGTTTATCAATGCGAACTAATTAACAAATGCTCAAGGCCCACTTTTTGTTAATTTCTTTATTTATTTGTTTACTTTTGGTTATTCAACTTATTGAAGGTGATCTGTTTGAAAAAGATGCGTATTATTTTACTTGCCTGCAAATCGACCCCTAAATTGAAGAGTTATCAAACTTTAAAGAGTATCTTAAAACAGCTGCGCACATTTGCAAATAATCCATCGATATTTTGGCTATAAAGGCGGCGCGTCGAAGACAATCCATATCAAAATCTTATACGGTTCTCTGAAGCAACTATCCAATAACATGAGAGTCACAACAATTGTCCTGAGCCTTGCCATTTTGGCCAGTTTCCATGTGAGGTACAGCGAGGCGGTGGCCTGCACATCTTTTGATCCCGATTTGCCAGCTGGATGCACCGACTGTGAGGCAGCGGGCAATGAGAACCATGTGGATTGTGTAACCACAACAACAACGACAACAACAGCGGCTACAACAACCGGCACTGGAACAACCGGCACGGGAACAACCGGCACGGGAACAACCGGCACGGGAACAACCGGAACGGGAACAACCGGAACGGGAACAGGTGGCAAAACTGTGCGCGTTAGTAATCTGAGGTACACAAATGTGCGTCGCGTTCGCGCTAATCGCAATGGAAACACCTCAGGCAACAGCACTGGACGCCGCAATGCCAGACGTGCAAACGTGAGTCGTGGAAATGTGCGTCGTGGAAGTGGGCGACGTGGAAATGTGCGACGTGGAAACGTGAAAAGTGGAAACGTGCGACGTGGAAACAAGAATCGCCGCAGTGGAGCCAACGTACGCGTTGTCAGGGGATAATAATTTAGATCAGTTATTTTGTTGCAACAATTTATTACTTAATAAATTAAATATTGTTTTTAATTAAATTCATAGAGCTTTGCAAACATTTTAGATAATCGTAGAGACAAGTGGGTTAAATACACGAATTCTCATAATGGAACTTTTTTTTTTTTATGCAAATGCAAAGTTTAAGTTTTAGCCTTGTTGACAGAGCAAAAATCTTTAAATTTAGCTCTTTTGTTGAGTGTTAGCTGAAGGCCGCACGGGCTTTAATTTCGCCAATTTTTATAATACCATCGGCACAGCTGAACATATTTGCAAATAAGCTAGCAAGGTTTCAATGAAGTGTTTACTATAAAAACCGCTGCTTTCTGGCTGAACGACATCACAAGCTATTTGAGGAATTCCCTAAGAAGTCAGCAGAATCATGAGAACCTTTATAATTGCGCTTGGCTGTGTCATTTTGGCGATGCTGCACATCCGGAGCTGCGATTCGGTCGCCTGCTCATCAACGGTCCTGACCAACTGCACCGACTGCACGGATACAGCCAATGCGAACAATACCGACTGCACCACCACAGCCACGGCAACAACAACAACAACAACAACAACAACAACGGCAAGCTCTGTCGCACTCGGCTCCAACCGGAAGACGGTGCGTATCAGCAATCTGAGGTACACAAATGTGCGTCGCATTCGGGTCAATAATAGTAATACGCGCTCCTCAAGCCGTCGCAACGGAAGCCGCAGAAATCGCAACACACGTGTTTTTGTGGGTTAGATGACAATTATATTATAATTTTATAAATATATTGAAAAATACATGCTTAAAACTGGCATTTATTGAGCTAACTGGATGATCTGGGGCTGGAATTTTGAAATGTACATATATGAGAAACAAGGAGCAGCAGCTAGATTAAATACCCGATACATATATACAGTCCGCAGCAGGACTGTAAGCCACACAAAAGCCACCCAGGCTGGGATATCCCATAAGACAAATTGTTTTTCATACTGAATCACAATCTTCGATCGATCGTTATAATATAGTCGACCACTCGGGCTGGATCTAAAATATGTATTGCCAGCAATAAGATTACGGACCGAGAAGAACTGAGAGAACTGCACTGAAACAGACAAGAGAACTTGTTGAAAGGTGCGTAATCAAGAGGCTCAAAAGAAAATCCATTAAGGACCTCACCCAACCACGATAGAGGAGATGCCCCCGTGACGATTAGGCCTGAGGACCAGGCTTGGGGAAACAATACCTTAAGCTATCTATATTGTTATAAAAATGTGTGTATATACAATATAATACAATTACCAAAGAATAAATAATAATAACAGACGCAGCTAATGATACTACCAAAAACAAAAATAATGCCTACTGCCTTCTTGTAGACTTGAATAACAGTAGTAAAAGTAATTCGTCTTAGTTTTAGAGCAACTGTAAGCCTCAGCCTTATACTAAGCACAGATAAAAGCAAGCGCCCAATGTTAGGCTACATTATATTTCACCAAACACAGCTGCTCGTTTCACAGCGCACAGCTTTTGTCTGTTATAGAAAGTGTTAAGTTTTATGTTAAAATGTTGTGTGTGCTTTTTTTGGGTTGATATTTATAACTATTATAACTATAAATATTTGAAGCACCTATGCATATTTAGCATAATCTCTATATATAAAACTGTCTGTCCTGACTGACTAACTGATTGACTGCTTGACTGATTGACTGCTTGACTGATTGACTGATTGGTGATCAACGAACAGCACAAACCATAAAAGCTAGGTAGTGTATATTTATACTGTTATTTCCTTATGTAATAGATGTGCACTCTAAGATGAAAAACGTTGGTATAAAACTTTTTTGCTTACCCTCCGATCGACCTCAAACGTATTGAACTTCATTTGCGGGGTATTCTACACTTTTCGGAAGCTCCATTTTGTCTAATTGGATTCAAACCTATTTTGAAATCCCTACATAAGAACGGCGGGTTCTTTATTCGATGGTTTTTCAACATATATTCAAATAGACATGGAATTCAAAATGTTTGACACATATGAGAATGCTGAAATTTGTATTTGGATTAGATATTTCTGTCATTTGTCTGAATATGTATAAGGATTGATATACATCCAATTAGGTATTATTATTAAGAATATAATGATTATCATTTATATTATGATATCAATCAGGTTGTTAAGCAAAGTAATGTAAAGCCTAAACCTAAGCCCAACCATTCTCAATCATATTAACTTTTAGTATTTGCATATTGAAAATAATAAACTATATTTAATAACTGTTGACGGCACACTCAAATTTTACCATATTCCGTATATTGCCAATTCGTATTAAGAGCCTGGAACTATGCTGTAGTATATGTTGTAGATTATGAAATCCCGGAACGTGTCTATTTTCTAAGTATTCGACTTTTGCTCACTTACACTTTCAATTGGTATCGAAACTGCTGACACTGAAAGTCGTGAAGTGGGAACAACTGATTACATATCAGACGTTAGAATTTGAATAACGTTGTGGAACACTTGTGTACTCATTTCGAACAGATGGATGTAAGTATGGGGAAATCGAGCAGGTAAATAAAATGGCATTTGGGCAAAATGGGTATAAAAAGATGCGTGTGGCCCATGGCAAGACATTCCAAGCAAACCATTTGAATTGAGATGAGGACCCAAACCGTTATCTTGTGCTGCGCCATTCTGGCCATTTGCCTGCTGAAGCGCAGCGACGCGCAATCGAGCACAGATGCTTCGGCAACAACGGTTGCCACCGACACCGCCACCACCACGGTCGCGAGTACGGCCACCACAGTCGCCAGTACGGACACCACAACCGCCAGCTCGGCCACCGCAACCACAACGGCAGCTAGCTCTGGAGCCACCACCACCACCGCGAGCAGCAGTGGCAGCAGTGGCAGTGCTGCCCGGAGGCGTCTGCTGCGTCGCTTAAGGGTCCTGCAGCGCAGACTGTCCCATTGCAGGCGACACTCCGCCCAGCAGAGGCGGGTTCTGCTTTCCAAGATCAAGAGCCTGAATGCAAGCAAACCAACAAGCAACTTTGTCAAGCCCAGCTTTAACAAGCTGTTCGGCTAATCAATTCTATCTGTTCTTTTATTAACTTTAATAAACGTTTATTCATGCATATACCTCATTCTGTTTCGCTGTGAAGAACATTGGGTATTTCCCAATTCATGATCGTAGACTCCAGGAAAAATGTTACAATTCTCACTAAAGGTCTACCTTATACACTAGGTTTTCGTTTAAATACCCTGTATCCATTGTTAATGGATATGGTTGTGTTCATATGTATTTGAAAAACAGTACAAGTCGACTGAGTCTGTCTGCAAGTGTATCTTTCTGTACAAACGCATCGATAATTTGCTCCGTTTCCGTGAAATCACTTTGAGCTATGAGTAGGGGCGTACTCTGCCGGACTGACTATAAATTTTCCCCAACGCTTCGGTGAGTTCACTATCTCTATACCCTTATCAACTTTACATTATATAGCCTATTTCAAAGTTATTTACTTTTTTCATACCTTTTTTCTCCCCCTTATAATAATATAATATAGTTACTTAAGAATAAAATACCTGCATCGTGTGGCTTATGATATTCGGAAATTATTCCTTTATTTTGATTGGGCTTTTAGTTTTTAATTTTGTTGTTCTAATGCATTAAAAACATAGGTTGACTCTCGTTTTGTTTTATAAATTAATAAAGTAATAAATAATAAATTATAGAAAGAGGGGCCACAGCCCGAATGAGAGCAACAAGTCAGGGGTAGAAACTTGGTTTAGGCAAAATATCAGTATAAATGTATAAACTTTAATTCCTGCCTGGCATTATAGAATCCAGTGTGCGGATCGCGGCTTGGAAATCATCCACATAAACTGGCTAGGTGTCTTCTAAAGAAACGTAGAAACGTAGAGATTACGGAGGTCTCATCCAATCGTTACTCAGATGGTTATATAACCAAACTATTTTTGTAAATCTTATAAGTTTCCCCAATAACAGTTACAATAAAAATAAAATACATTAATAAATAAATTTAATATGCAATAAGAATGAATTTCTAAGAGCATTTAAGCAAATTACATTCAATTTGGAGCAGCAAAAGGTTCGACAATTTTTTGGCGCAACAATCTCGACAAAGCATTTATTTAATAAACCTTTAAATATTTTATTTCAGTTTTTTTATGATATTTTTATGCTATCTACAAATTGTTAAATAAATGTAATATAAAACAAGGCTACGTCTAAACGATCGATTGGCATTTAGTTTGTAATTTATAATTGTTTAGCACAAACATAAATATATATTAAAACAGTAACATAACAATTCTTAAGCCAATTGCTTCGGAGATCATTGCAAACTAGGACAACATATGGAATGCTTTTAATAATTTAACTTTTTGTAGATTTGTATAAATATGACAAGTATTATAAATTATAATATAAGCATAACTAACACAGCATAAAGAAAATATACGCTTGGTCGGGCTACATTGTTGTTCATCTTTAAAGTGGTTCTATGCAAATTATAATAATAGAAAAGCTGAAATTTTAGTAACTCACTCGGCGCTGGGATTCTCCTCATCTTCATCTTCGGGTCAATCGAAACTCGCCTCGAATCCGTTTTTGAGCCAGGGCTGAATATAGATAGATACATTCGCCAGCCATAGCCACTTTATGTTTAACCGAATTGATTTTGCCCACTCTGCGTAATTAAGAAAATTGCATTCATTTACTATATGTTAGTTAAATGGAATGTGGTTTCTCGCACTCACTCACAATGTGTACAGAGCGTTCTTTAAAATGCACTCGGCTTTTATCAGACCCTCGCCCGTGACCTCGGTGACGTTACCAGGCAGCTGAAGGCAGAAGAATCAGTTTACTTTTAAGTAGATGCACATGCTCTACAGTGAAAACTCTGTTGGGTGGACCAACGATCGTCGTGCAAGAAGTCGCATGGGTATGGGCTGATTCATAATGATTGCAGAGAACATGTCCCAGATGTGCAAACGGCAAGTCCGTTGGGCGAGTTTTCACTGTAGTTTTCACTTAGCTTGGCCAAAACAAATGCAAGAGCTAATCCACAAATGAAAACCAATTTGATTGAGTGCATTTTTTCACAAAATTTCTTTCGCCCGAGAGAAAGCACGATTTCCGACAGAATCTCAGACTCTTCGCTGCGGCGACTTTTATAGCTGCTCCAGCGAAGCCGATCTCCAACTGCGCGTGTGAGTAGTTATCTCTCGCCGAGGAAATTGATATGAAAGCCCGAGAGAGAGAGAGCAAAATAAAGCGAGAGAGAGAGAGAGAGAGAGAGCAAGTACGACAATTTAGTCATTTAATATAATCACAAGATGTTTGCCAATTTAGACATCTAGTTTATGTAATGTTGCTTAAAGACTAAAAGGCAAATTTTAAGATCAATTGTTTTGTTTTTTTTATCAATTTTTCTACTTGCATTTGGCTTGAGTTCGAACTTTGAGCCGCTTGAAACGAGTTGTTAATACGAGTATTTGTTTAATGAGAATAGAATCACAACTAATTAGTTGCTCATCTTAAATTTAATGCGTGTAAGTTAATAAGATGATAAATGTAAATTCCGTTCTTTCTTTATCAATCAACATACATAAAAATCCGTTTTTGGGTTAATTTTTATTCATTTGAATTCAAATTTTGGTAAATTACAAATAAAATTATACAATTTGAAAAGAATAATTTAATTCAATTTCAAGTAAAGGTAATTATGTAATAATGTTTAATATAATAATATATTTTTTAATATTATTATAAAATTTGAAATTATTAATTTAGCTTTTCCCGAAGAATAAATCACGAATACACACAACAGCTGGAACATGTTTACTGAGAACCTGTTGGGTGGGAATCGCTAAAAACATTGTCAGAAAATAATGAAAACAATAACACACACTGATTTATCACAGACTTAAAGCTTAATCAAAAAAACGTGTACTTTATGACGGCTAAATATAAAAAAATATAATAAATTCCAAACATTTCAGATTGTTGATGCAGCAAACACAACTTGGGTTCAGATGTTTCAACACCGAAAAAGGACGTTTTTAAGCGCAGCAGAAAAAAAAACTAAAAGGAAGCTTATATTCTTAAATATTTTGTATATGTATACATATAATCCAATTCCAAACTTTTTAGTAGCCACATATGATCGTTAAGTTAATAAAATAAATTGAGTTAAAATTATCAACCTTTTTAAATCAACAAAACGAGAAAGTAAGGATATCTTCGGCACGCCGAAGTTTTGATACCCTTTTGCAGACATGTAAGAACGGTGAAGCTCGCAAATTCTGAGTTTGATGAAAATATCTTTGAAAACAGAATATTTCAGAATATATTATAGGTTCAAAGATCGACACGTTCGTACATACGGACGGAAAAAATATAAGAAGAAAGTCTTATCTGCATATATAATTTATTTATGTATATTATGTTTATATTTCCATATATATATTTTATAATTTATGCACTCAACCTGAGGGCATAATATGGTGATAATAAAGCCTACCACTTAAAACAATGTATTTTTAAAAGTTCTCTCAAATTAAAATTCAAACCACATGGGTATTATAAATGAGTTTGTCAGCGGCGAAGAGAACGTCTGGAGTATTTATGGATTTCATTAGTATGGGTGCGACAACACGAAAGAAAGCAAAAAGAAACCAATTTCAACGACGATCGATAAATAACTGAGAGTTCAATAAGAAGAATTAATTTGATCTAAAAAACACACAATTTTTTGAGCGATAAACAAAGCTAGTGTATAGATTTTGGTTTTGGATAAAAGCACCATGTCTGTGAGAAATTGAATATTATATTATATAAAGTAATTAATTAATATAATATTATATATTATAACTGAGCTCTACTTGTATCCAGTATCAGGCGAAGCGACTTAGCCACAACCGTCTGCTCTTAGATCTTAGATATCTTCATGAAACTTGGCACAGTTTCTTTCAGTTGCATCCCAGATCGATCTGTTTATTATATCGTTTTTGTAAGTAAACTTCTAAGATATTTTGACCAAACTTGGCATTTACTTAACACAATCTTATCAGCCTCGGATCAGTAAAGAATAAACAAAGATGAAGAAAATCGATTGAGATACTTTCCTTCAAGATATATTGACCAAGACGAGCTCCCAACATATCTGCAAGCCCGTATCAGATCTGACTGCCATATGAAAAAAAGCAATTCCAAGTCTGGAAGAGCATTCAATATTCGACCTGCCAAATAAAGCAATTCTACCCCGGTTTTTTTTTTTCTATTTTGCATCTGTTAATTTAAACAATTTACGGAATATGTTGTATATAACAAGATGTGAGAGAGCACTCGAATAAATATTCATTGCCGGCTATTAAATGCGAAACGAAACTGGTTTCTTATGCTCAAAGAGCTGTTCAATTTTATTCATATGCTTTTTAGAATAGAGCTTAGCAGATCGCATCAGCTAGTCTACCAGGTGCGATCCACCTTAGCATCGTCGCCCTGGCAATCGATTTTGACATTGGTGCCGTTCTCCTTGAGCCATGGCTGGGACCAGATCTTCACAGTGCACTGCTTGGCCACATTATCACTGGACAGCTCCACGGTGTAGGTATCCAGAGTGCCGGCAACAACTTGAGTTGTCACCTTCAGCACTTTTGTGGCTCTATAGCAAAAAACAAACAAACATTAGTATTAAGATAATTGGAATAGCTTTGAGACTTACGCGTAGTTGGGTCCATCGCCAGTCGACAATTTGGCCAGAGTTGCGTGCAGATTGGCAACAGCCTTCTCCAGCTCCTCGCCGCTCAGCTCCTTGTGACCGCCAACAATTGGGGGCGACTCATCGCTGGCCACCAGCACACACACGAGTGCCAAGATTGTCAGATAAATGAATTTCGAACCGAACATTTTATTTTCTATCTTAAATGTTTTGGAACTCTTGTTTGATCAAAAGCTGTGCATCAACTAAATTCTCTGCGGCAAAGTCGGCCCTTTTATACACCGCACGCTCTGAGCGCGTTTTCGTGAGAGCGTTTGTTGTGAGCATTTTGTGACGAATACTATGACACGATATATATATATAGAAATCCATATACATATGTGTACACATACATGTGTGTTATCATTCGTTTGTAAAGAAATGTACATTGTTCGTCATGAAATGTGTAACGCACGGAGGGCGGCGTGCACATAATGTAGTATATGTATATATATTCTTGATCGGCCATATAGCCATATCTGTGTGTCCGACTGTCTGCTTCTATGCTAACTAGTCTGTCTCTCAGTATGATAATATTATTATAGCAGTAAGTATACATACATAACATAGAAATGATTGCTCTAAAGCTAAGCGCTTCTATGAAAAACCTCTAAAAATATATTTTGCCTAAGCTCGACATTTGCGTGTTTCACTATGCATCTTTCTTTCTGCAGAGTTTTATCAATTATATAGCTCTTCTGTGTTTCCAGATATCCTCATTTAAGTCAGCAGTTGAGAGCTCCACAGTTCTCCTCAGTTATCAGCGTATTCGTAAACCAGGGTTATTAATCTGTGACATACTTTTTGTCATATATTATATTTAAAAATTACTTTTCAATCTTAATCAAGGAAGAATAAAAGAAACAGAGCGCCAGAATAAAATTGTGGATTGACATGGAATGCTTATATAAATACATATAGCGGGTATTACCCGGCCTTGCCCGTGTTTCAATTTGTAGATATAACTATTTCAATTGCTTTTCGCCTGTTTTTCTCGAAAAAAGAACCAAAAACATATTAATCTTGTGATGGGACTCTTAATGCTCAAAACTACAATTTAGTTAATTCAAACTTTGATTTGCATTGACCCCCGTCCGAGGTGATAATGCGACAAACGTATCCAATAAATATTCACAAAGATCATTGCAAATTAGTTCGAAGCTGATCGGCTGATGAACAAAAATGTTGCCAAATTTCCACAGTTACGGGTGGGAATTCCAAAAGTGCTGAATATTTTTTGATGTAAGATTTTAAGGTTTTGAAGCAGATCGTACGAAACTTAAAATTACGCCCAAAACATCTTTAACCCGCATTTTCCACCTTGGCTTGTTTTCATCGAAAAAGGTTAAATAAGTCTCAAATGGGTTTTCCTAAAGATCTTTGCAAATGATTTTACATCCGTAACTTCGCCCACCAAATAGTCAAACCCAATTTCCACCAAGCACGAATGGATTTTTCGAAAAGTATGAAACAACACTTCCCAGCCCTTGGGGTTTGGTCTAGGACAAAGAGTTATATATATAGAGATAATATTCGTTGGTCAAGAACATTTGGGTTTTATTTATGTATTGTTTTCATTATATGTTATTTAAAATAAAATGCTGAAAATATTGTTCATAAAAAGTAAAATTTATTAAAAATTGTGCACATTGTTATTTTTTAAAGAGTGAAGTTAAGCTCGGCATCGTCGCCTTCGCATTTGATTTTAATATTGCTGGGATAACCCTCCCAGGTGGTGACAGCGCATTGTTTGTTAGTTTTACCGTCGGTCAGTTGCCCGACAAAGATTGTGACCGCACCCGAGACATATTGTTTCTTGACGGAAATCACTTTGGCGAGACTGAAAAGTGAATAAGTTTATTTAAATATATATATTGGATATATATAAATATGTTACTTGTAGCTAGCTGCGTGCTCTTGAGACATTATAGAGAGGCTTTCCTTCAATAGTTCAATAGCTTCCTCCCGCAGCATGTACTCCATTTCTTCGTCCATGCCCTCGAGCGGAGTATTGTCATCGGCTTTTATGGCTGCAGAGCAGGCCAGAAATAATAGAACCAAGTAATTAATATCGTTCATATTTAAGCACGAACTAATTTGGCTTAGTTAGCCGAACTAGCTTTTATAGATCGCACTACCAATGCGAAGCTAGCTTGTAATTTTCAATAATAAGTCCGGCTTATAAAAAGATTGTACGGATAGCTGAGAACAATATCTAATGTATTTGGTGCATGCACATAATTTGGTAACAAAGGCGCATTCAAAAACTAATATTTGTGTGTAGCAAGTACTCCAGACTTTCGGCACCTTGGCAGCTGATTTTGATGTCCGTGTTGTCTACCAGCCAGAATTGATGCCAGATTCTCACATTGCACTTTTTGGTCTCAAAGCCAGTTGTCAGTTCCGTTTCGTAGGTTAATTTCTTGGCCGCAACTCCCTGGCTCCGCACGCTGATCAGATTGAGGGCTCTGAAGAGTGCGAAAGATTGGGTAAAACCTGCAAATGGAGCTGTAAATGAAGATGGATTTACTTGTAGCTAACTGCACCGGCGCTTATGTTGGCCAATTTGTCGAGTTGTTCGTCCAAAAATTGAATAGCGTAAGTGCGCAATTCTCCGAGCTGCTCGTGCAGGCCCATTATTGGATACATTTCAGAGTCTGTGGCCTCCGCGCCGGAGGCCAATGCAAGGGCGGACATCAGATACAAAAACTGTTCACAATTCATTTTTGTATAGAAACTGATATTGGCCGCATGCAGCTGTGCCTATTTATACACAAATGGGCGTACTTATGGGATTATATTTTATTTGAATAAATTTAATTAAAAACGATATTAAATCTTAATGTGTATTTAACATGCGGCAGTTGATTACATTTTTAAAAGGTGCTCTCAATCTCGTTGTCATCGCCCTCGCACTTGATGGTTATATTGATGCTATTCTCCGGCAGCCAGGGCTGTGTCCAGATCTTAACATAGCTCTCCTTAATGTCATCGCCCTGGGCCAGCTGCAGCTTGTAATGATAGAGTCTGCCGGCAACCACTTGCGATGTCACCGACTTGACCTTAACAACCCTATGCAAATTAAAGTGTTTATTTTTCAAAGAGTATTCAGTATTTGAATATTTTCACTCACTTAAAGCTGGGCTTATCGCCAGTGGCAGCCACTTTGGCCAGCGAGGTATTCAATAGCTCCACGGCCTTCTCCAATTCAGCGCCTTGCAGCTCCGCCGATACGCCACCACAAAGTGCATCGTTGTGTTCGGTCATGTCTGTGGAATATTTATAAATGAACTGCATTGATAAGCACACGAAAATATATATGGAAACCCTTCGAAATACCTGAACAGCGTAGCGCGGCGAGACAAGAACTTCGAGTAGGAAGAAAGAAATAAAAACGAGTATTCCTGAATATCGCTTTGTTTGAAAACTCGACGATGACTGAGCGCACTGGAAGAACGCGTACGGTTCAGGGCGGGCATTGGACTTGCTTTGTATGGGTGAAAACACAAAGAGAGCGCGAAAATTGGCACTCTCTCTCACACTCGCACACACACACACACACTCTCTCGCTCTGGGAGAGTCTAGTCTGTATATAAGAACTGACTCATAAACATGATGATAAAATCGAAAACAAACAGTGGCCACTCTCATTTGATGGAAATCGCCCCGAAACAAACAGGAACATGTTTGGCAGACAACGATAACGACTGTAACTACCTGATATCTGGCCTTTATAGAGCGTTTTCTGAAAAAAGGTAGTTCCACAAATGAGCTATTGATTGCTATTTATGGTACACAGACGTTAAAATGTTTTCTTCTACAGGTAAGCTTATCGGCGAGAACATTTTTGAAATGCCAACTAAAATTAGTTTAGGTAATTAACTAAATGAAAAGGAAAAAAACCAGATTGGATTTATTTACTTCAGCATACGAATTCTTCAAAACAAAATTGAGGTACAAATTTAAAAAGCCTTAAAGCTAAGCTCTCTATTTAATTTAAATAACGCATTAATTAACGATCTGTCGTTGATTTTATAGTACCGTAGTTATATGTGCATATATAAGTATATATATTATATATTTATATGCTACTTATCCCGCGTAACATCTATTCAATTTGCAATTGAAATTCTTGTTTGGTAAATATTTCCAAAAAATACAGTTACACCCCCCTCCCCCTTCCAATACAACGTGCGAGAAACTTAAGCAAATCTTACAAAATAGTTCCACATTTGTTTTCTTTCTTTTTTTTAGTTTTAGTTTAGTTGTTTTCTTTTAGTATCATCTTTTTTTTGGAAACTAACAAGCGCTACAAAACAGTTCCAATAACAAATCCCTCTCCATCTTTCAGGCTCTTCAGATGTGTATATGCATGTGCTCCAGCAGCTGGGCGCGATCCGGAAATATGGAGGAGCACATTTCACACTCAAAGCAGCGCGTCCGACGCTCCGTTTTGCTGGCCGCTGCCGCCTTGGCGGCTGCATCGGCGGCGTGTGCAGCGGATACCACCTCGGAGATGGAAAAGAAACCGGAACTGACATCCGAAGAGTTGGCACTGGCCACCACATTCACATTGTACGAGTCCACGCCATAGCTGAGGTACGAGTTGCCGGCTGGCTTATTGACTGCAACGGGCGAGGATGTTGTCGATTTCTTGGCGCTGAATTCGGATGAGCTTTTGTCCATGTGTCGCTTGGCTGCCGAGCGGGTGGCCGAGTTGGCAGTGATCTGTCGCAGATGGCGCGATGTGCGCGCCGCCGATGAGGATGATGATGATGATGTGGGCGTGGCTGTGTGTCCTGTGGCAGTTACACGTTGCTGGCTCTCCACCATTTCGCGCAGATCCGGAGACGTGGGCTCAATTTTAATGAGGTTCTGCTCCTCCTCGGGCAGAAACTGTGGCGTTGTCGACGATTCGCTAGTGAAACGCAGGCGCGCATTCCGATCATGCTTGAGCGGACTGCGTAATATCTCCTCCAGATCGTTGACAATGCTCGGATTGAACTTGTCGTAGGGCTTCTCGCGCAACATGGCCGCATGGATCAGCAAATGGGTGTCATCGTACATGAGCTGGACGCGCTGCTGTTGCTGCTCCTGCTCCTGCTTGATGTGCAGCGGACTGGAGCTGATCTGATTTGGCGGCTGTGTGGCAGGTGATATAATTTCGTAGTCATCGACAATCCGCGAACTGGCCACGCCGCTCGACTTGACCAGGCCCAGCTGGCTGCTCTCGCTGGTACTGGTGCGCGTTATGTAGCTGCGACTACGCGACTTTTTGCTGGCATTCTCTGGCGGCACTCGCGCCTTTTCTGTGTGTATCATGCGGGGACGTGAACTGCTTGATGTGGCAGCTGCTGTGCCTGTATTCTTGGCCGCCTTGCTAGACTTCTTTCTGCTGCTGCGACTGTTGGCGACGCTGGATTTGCCGGACTCCTCACCAGCTGCTGCTGTTGTTATTGTCGTTGTTGCTGATGATGTTGCTCCCGCTCCACCTCCTGACTTGTCACTGCTTTCGGCCTGCGTTTGCGTCGGTGGCTGCTTGCCGCCGCGTCGCGACTTGGAGGCGCTTGGTATGCTGCTGGATGAGCTCACAGGCGGCAGAGTGGTATCGTTTACCACCACCAGCGAATCAATTTGAAAGAAGCTTTTGTAGGCATCATCTGGGCTGCCAACATTGCCATTGCTATTTGCCGGCAGGAATTTCTCATCCCACAGACGTTCCGAGCTGCTATTGGCGGATTTGGCAGAACTGGAACTATTGTGTGCGGCGCCATTTGTCACGGCTTTAGCTTGATTTGCAGCTGCTCGCTTGCGCTTCTCCTTTTTAGTTGGCAATGGCTCTGTCCTGTCCAGGAGATCATCCACGTTCTCAACATCAAAGTCACATAGCTCCATATCGCTGGCATACTCCTCGCCATCCTTGTTCCCCGCACGCATGTGGGCAATCTCGTGTGGCTGCAGTTTCCTGCGTCGCTTATACTTGCGCGGACCAGTCTGAAAAAATAAATAAATTTCAGTCAATTTTAAAGAGCACAACTTGGCTAGCAAATGCTACTCACAATTGGCTGTCGCTGTTTGGCAGTGTTTGTGTCACTGTGCTGGATGAGATGCTGTATAAGCTCATTGGATGAGGACAAATCGGCGGAGCAGACGGTGCAATGATAGGTGCCACGTACCGCATCCAGACCCGAGTGATGGGAGCGTATGTGCTCGCGCAGCACAACGCGCTGGTTGAAGGCACGCGGACACACGGAACAGGCATAGGGCTTCTCGCCCGTGTGAATACGTTCGTGCTTGCGCAGCGTACCGCCATCGGCAAATGCCTTCCAGCAGTAGCGACAGCCATATGGCCGTTCGCCAGTGTGGATGCGGACATGTATTTGCTGTGAGCTGCGCGAGCCAAAGGTCTTGCCGCACTCGTGGCAGGGAAACAGCTTGCCCGGCGATGTGGTGCTATGTGAATGCCGATGATTGGAGAGCGTGCGTCCATCGGGGAACTCCTCGTGGCACACCTCGCAAACCACCGACTTGTCGCGATGCGAGGCCATGTGTCGCTTCAGACGTGCCTTGTTATGAAAGTTCTTGCCGCACTTGGAGCAAGAGTGGCACTTCTCGCGCGAGTGATCCCAGGCGTGCTTGATCAGTGCCTTGCGATCGCGACACTCTTTGCCGCACAGCACGCACGAGTTGGGCTTCAGCTCGTGCGGATGGCGCGTGTGCAAATGCCGCTTGATAGCCTGCTCCTCGTAAAAGCTAACACCGCACAGGACGCATCTGCAAATGTCGGAAGTGAATCATAAATTGGAACTAGTTGCACGCGTTTGCCCAACTCACTTGAATGGCGGGAAGCGTGCATGGACCTCGGCATGGGCGAGCAGCTCCAGAGCGCTGGGAAACGATTTGCCGCATGTGTGACAACAGTGCGCGGCGTCTTTGGCATTTTCGGCATCAGCATCGCCGCCGTCGCCGTCACCTTCGCCGACGCCACCGCCGTCGCCGCCCTCCATGTCTGGTGTCAGCTTGTGCTGTTGCTTGGCATGACGACGCAGCAGGTCCTGCCTGTGAAAGGAAATGCCGCACTCGCTACAGTAGAAGTCACCGTAAAGCTGTTCCGGATCCGATTCGCTGGCGCTATCTTCGCCCGCCGAAGCCGGATCATATTCCGAGTTGCTCTCCTCGAACTGATGTGTCTTCTGATGTTCCTGCAGGCTGTAATTATCCCAGAACATCTCCTGACACTGATTGCATTCGAAGGGCGAGTCCACGCGATGATTCTAGGACAGGCAGACAGTTACATATGGAAGACAGTTGAATATTCACCGAGGCTCACCTTGATATGCGAGACGAGCGCTTTTTCGCGCGCAAATGCGAGTCCACACTGCTGGCACACAAAGGGCTTGCTCTCGTCCAGCACCGGGAAGCGTAGCGTCTCTGCCCCATCGGCGACTGGGCCGTCTGGGCACTGTGTCGAATGCGCTGCCTCGATTGACGTGCTGCCCGTGAGCGGCGGCTGCAGCGGCAGCTCCTCGCAATCCATGTACTGGCGCAAATCGTCAGTTGGCTGCTTCTCGGCAATCACAATGTACTGTGTGCTCTCTTCTTTGGGCTTGAGGCGGCTAATGCGACCGCGCGTGGCTGTTGGTGCGGACACGGCGCTAACCGCTGCATAGCTGGCCTGCGGTTCCACCAGCTGCTCCTGCTCCATTTGCTGCATCTGGTCTTGCACCTGATCATCTTCCTGTTCCTGGTACAAAGGCCAATCCTGTTCGTAATAATGATCATCCGCTTGGCGTTGCTGTTGCTGCGGCTCAAATTTAATTGCTGCCGCCTCATCTGCCGCAACCTGTGCCTCGGCATGCGCCTTGAAGTGACTGATGAGCTCAGCGCGCCTTGAAAAACGTGCGCCGCATAATTTACACAGATGTGGACGATCGTTTTGGTGCGCCAGCATGTGAGTATTAAGGCTGCCTTTTTTGCGAAAGCGTCGACTACAAAAGTCGCAGGGATAAGGGCGCAGTGCCGTATATTCATCCTGCTCCATGTCCAGCAGCTCCTGCGAGCTATTGTTGCCCGCTATTTGCTCCGCGGCGATTTCCACGCTGCAAAAATAAAAGGAACGCATTATAAAAACGTCGTTCTACAGGTAATGATCAGCAAGTACTTACCGCTCGGCACCCTGATGCTGCACCCAATCATCGGTAATGATCTCCTCGGTGACCACCTGTGCATCATCATCAAATGACTCGGCATAGGCAACGGTGCCGCTGTCCGTGATTAATACAGTTCCGCCGCCGGCTTCGTTGGCGGCTATGATTTCGCTTAGCTGACCATCGCGCGCCATGAAGATAAGATTCTCGGCTGCCATATGGTCAAGATCCTCGTCTGTTGCATTGCCATTTACCAAATAGGCGGCAGTCACCTCGCTGTCAGCAGCGCCGTTTTCCAGCATATCTGTTTCGGAATCAACCGCAGATGCGTGCTGCTGTATCCATTGGATGCCGCCATAGTCCTGATTGTTCATAACTCAACTGCCCCGTTGCTTTTGCTCTGCAAGCGAATTGTTGTTATTGCAAACTTCTCGGGCAAATAAAAATAATTTACAGATCTCAAGCTTGAGCAACAATTGTCTCTGGAGCACATGTGCTCTGGCAAAAAGACCGTGGGAGAGTGAGAGAGCAAAATAGCGTTGCCAGACAGATTGCAGTTAAAAAAATGTATAATTTGCCATTCAAAACAAACAATTTAATATGTAATTCACAAATATCCGAAACAAATTATCTTCAGCGCACATTTAGCTACTCATTTGATTTGATTGTGCACCGCTAAATAATATTGTTTTATTATTGAACTGCACTTTTAATAGCGCTGGCAACCCGGCGCCCGCTTCCAGGTAGCACACACTAGGCATCCCGCTCACACGCACGTGTCGCGCGCATCGTTTCCAATTTAATGTTGTTAAATGGCCAAGTCGTCGTCTCATAAGATTTTTTTTCCAATTATAAGTCTGTGTTTTATTTATATTCCAGACTGTTGCACATAACCTCAAGTCGAAATACAATAATAAACAAACCGCACCGGCAACCCGAGCTCTATTTTGCACATAACATGTATAACATATGCATATATGACTATAATAAGACAATAGGTGGCGCAGTCGTGGCACTCACACTCACGCGATTACATCACGCCCAAAAATTCTCATTTAATTAATTTCATTTGAATTTATACTAAAGACTAGCGAAACAATAGCCACAGCTGCTAACATTTACCTTTAATTTCAACTTTACACAGATGTCATTCTTTAATTGTACGCCGCCTGTTTTTAAATGCAAAAAATTGTTTTCCAAACTCAAAATATGCACGAACTAAAAGAATTCCGCAGCAAAATCACACACATCGTTTTTTTTCCTCCTCAACTCACAGCTGTTGCTGCGCCATTCAGGCGTGTGTGCGCATACGTGTAAGGTCTGTTAAACCACACTCACACAACGAAAAGGGCTTAACATTTGAATGAGCTGTTATTAACAACGAGCACTTAGCGTTTCCTGGAAAAATTGGTAACACTAGTTGCTCGATATTGTACAAAAAAAATAATAATTAAAATATATAATAAAATTTGGTGTAAATTGTTTTCATAACCAGATAATAAGCTAAAGAGAAATACGGTGGACAGTCGAAAAATTTGAACTAAACAGATTTTGAAGTATCTTACAGTTGGCGGTCGCTTTCTGCTGGAATAAAATCACAGTCGCAATAATTTTAAACTGTATAACAGGTTGCTTCAATAGTACAACTACATCACCAGTGCTGCAAAGTCTTTATATTTGAGTGCTGTTAAACTGAATGAATGCATCAAATTTATCCGTTACGCTCTGTAAATATTTAAACGGGCACAAATATATTTTTCCACGCCAAACAAAAAAAATATTATTCACTTCATCATTATTTGAAACAAGTTGCTTCAACACCTGCTCAAATAAACTTGTATTAAAGCTCACAAGTATACCTAAGTTTATTATCTAATTTTATTTATTATCTAATAGAACTTGCTTATATGAAATCCTAACGGGAACTTATAACCTAGCCAATTGTTAGCTGTAAACCAGGTGGCATTCCTCATTTTAAGGATTTAGTACACATCGTGCTGGAATTTGTTGTTGCCAGACTGTAGGAAATAGCCCTAAATACCCCAAGTAAACAATATAGATAACAGTTACCAAGTTTGGAATTTTGAACTTTTTTATCAACTGACCAAATTTGGTCAGAGCTTAAAACAAACTTTAAGCTGTGTTATAATGTGATTAGACGCGTGCATATGCAAATTTCCCAAGGAAAATTCGATTATTGGCATTTCTCGGAAGATTTCACGTACATACATAGATGATTTGCCTAAAACCACAGCAAATTATACACATACACATATATATGTATGCATTTTACATACATACACCCACACAGTCGCGTTTCTCTTTCGCCATTAGCTTTGCTCTTTCAGCTAAAGAGCAATGCAAATGATGAGCAACGCGCTTCGCCCAAACAGCGCCAAACTTTTTTTGTTCCACTCGCCTTTGCCTGTGGCTTTGCCCGTTGCCTTTGCCTCTGCCACTGCCACTGCCTCTGCCTTTGCTCTGCTTTTATTTTTATTGCTCTGTGTGCGTTTTGTTTTGCTGTGGGGCTCTGGGGCAGCGCCAACCAAGCGACTATTTAATTTTCGTTTTGCCGTGGAACCGTTTGGCGGCGGCCCGCAAGCGACGTGCGCGTTCTGAATATTTGGAAAATGTCGAGTAGCAGCGCGTTCGTGGTTCTATTTTGATTTACGTCTTTATGTGTTACCGTTACGTTTGCATATACATACATAGATATAACGTTGTTACAACGCTGCAGCGCCATCTAGCGCTGGTCGACCTGTTGCTGTCGTTGTTTTTGCCTAGTAAGTACCACGTTAGAGATAAAATATAAACAAACATAAGCGAATGAAAAACAACAATACCAAAAATAAAAAACAAAAAAGTAACCGCCATCCTTTGACAGGCGGCGACGACATAAAATGTCAAACTGTCGATCAACATCAAGGCGAAATATGCAAGATGCGTGTCTTAACTGCAAAGAGGGCGCCGACTACTCTGGGAAATGTGTATGTGTGTGTGTGCGTATTTGCATACTTATGTTGTGTATGTATGCACATACATATTTGCAGGCAGCCATTTATGTAATGCACACACACACACACACGCGCACATTTTACTATCCTCCTCCCTGTTTCGCTTATTTTAATCTTGGTGCTGATCTCGCTTTCGGCTACGCGTTTTGCATGCCTACGCGTTCGGTTCGGTTTGGGTCGTTGTTGCCCTTCTCTGGAATGCGTTTAATTCGAATTTGAATTTCATCGTTTTTCGCTGCTTTATATGATTCTGTTTTGTTTTGGGGCTACGCTCGCTTGTTTTTACAACGTAAAACACTTGTTGTGTGTGCATATTCCTCCAAGGGAAGAAATCAAACTAAGCGCAAACTTTAATTAATATACCACGCACGCACACATAATCACGATCTCGCGCTCTCGCTCTCGCACACACGCACGAACCCACACACATACTGTAAGGCTGGAACAATGTTGTTATTGTTATTCGATGTGCTCGTTATTGTTGTTGTTGTGGTTTGTTTGTATTTTCATCGATGAATTTTTTGTTTTGGCTGCTGGTATTTGGTATTGATTGAATTTTGCGCATGCTCAACACATTTTATGGTTAACGATCGCGGCACACGCTTCTTCGCCAGGTAAAAGTCAGCTATGGGGATTGGAATTTACGATCTACCATTTGTCTATTTATAGAGCTGCAGTTTTTATGGCATGTTAGCTAAAATGTTAGAGAGCGTGTGGGAGGCGATTGACAAACCATTTTTAAATATTGGGAAGCACAATAAATCTATATACTATACAAATTATTGCTTATAGGTCAGGCCATTCGTTTTATTTACTTATTTATTTAATAAACTGTAAATCGCAATGGTATATTCAACCATTTTGGTTTCTCCTTGCTCTTCTACATTTTCGAGAAAATGAACATCGAATTCGTCTCACTACATCATTTGCTACACCGTTCCTAACTCCTTCATAAACATCGGAAATGATTCTGTTCACTCGGCGTCTGGGTCTTTTGGTGGAGCTACTCTCAGTTTTTGTAATGCATTCTGCATTTCCGGGATAAAGGACACAGTTGACGCAGCTTGGATCTAGTGGTGCCAAGTCGCAGGTTACACCCGTAACATCATACGGCAGGCAATAGAAAATGGCAACCAGCAAGATGAGAACCTTTGCACATCTCATTTTAAGGGCTCACATTGAACGACTGACCCAAGTTAGCCAACAGTTAGGAATTTATTGATTGCAGAAGGGTTGAAAGACAAAGAAACAGATTTGCCCATACATAATATAACTGAACTAACATTATTCAGGTGTTCGATAGCCAATAGAATGCACCACGTGATGATCTTATTACACCAATGTGTATTTTGTAAGCTGTACCTTTTAAGGTAGTCAATACTCTATATGCTTTACCCTATGTTTTATTCGATTCTCACTCACATTTGCAGCATTATTTGAGCCCGAATCGCATAGAAGGCGATAATTCGATTCACTGCATAATAGACAAAAAATAGTAAGGATAAGCTAGGAAAGAAAACATAACAACTACAATTTCATTTTCATATATTTATGAAATTATGGGATTCAATTTATTTTTAATTTGTTGGAATCTTTGCTGAATCCGTTGAAAAAAGTTCGACAATAATGTTTTAATTCTGCGGCGTCGCGACTTTTTAGTAGTTCTTGTCACAGGTGCCGCTGTTGTTGTTGTTGCTGTTGTTGTTGTTGTTGCTGCTGTTGTTGTAATGCACTCTGCATTTGTAGGATTTAGGATACAGTTAACACAATTGGGATCCAGTGGCGCCACATCACAAGTGACAGCAGCAACACGATGTGGCAGGCAATATATTATCGCCGCCAACAATATCAGAACTTTGACACAACCCATTTTGAGAGTTTACAGGTAACGACTGACACTAGTTGGCCAACATTTTTTGACTTTATTAAACCAAATAGGGACAAAACAAAGAAACCGATTTTTTGTTCGTATTTTATGGAACTAAACAATATTTACTCAGGTGTTTTATCGCTAACAGAGAGCAGCACGTGGTATGCTTTATGCACTGAAAATAAATATGTTGCCTATGTTATAAGCATGAAATCGCACATACGATCAAACTCTGTACAAAGTTCATATATGTATAAAAGAAAATGACTAATTATCTACTCCCTTTTGATGAATGTGCTAAAGGAGTATTCAGATACTTTTTCTTAGTTTGTTTTCTAATAAAAAGCAAAGCACAAAGAATGTTTAACTAAATAAATATATCTAAATGTATAATTAAATAACATTATTATCTAAATCTTTATTTAGCTGGATCGGAGTTCGACTAATAAAGATTTATAAATTATATTATTTTATTTTACATTTTATATTATTATCTTTATTCATTGATAATTTCAACGAGAAAAACCTTAAGAGAAAGTAAACAGATTTTGATTTTTGATTATATTGGGCATATTTTACTCAAATAAATGTCACTGGAATTTGGCATACGACTTGATTTGCTAAAAGTGTCGAGAAAGTCATAAAAAATGAAAGACTAGAAACCCACTTCGAGAAAATTCAACAGGTTGCGAGTGACGAGACGCTGACAAAATTGTGACAATGACAACAATTGAACTAAATTTTAATTGTTGGCCATTTGCATAGACATTGCCAACATCGACGCAATTGCATTGTTGTTGTTGTTGATCTTGTTGTTGTTGCTGCTGCGGTGCAAGACCTACAAATACAACAAGTTGACGATCTCATTGATGTTTTTATGCGCTTGTCAGCAATCATTTGTGTATTTGTGTATGCGCATGTGAAGATCGGTGGGCGCAACGTAAAACGTGCGTGTGGCTGTCAAACGGCTACTGTGAGCCACTCTGGTGGCACCCACATAAAACATATACATACCTACATATATATATATATTTTTCTTTTGGCACAAAAACGACTGAAAACGTAAATTTCGGTCACTCGACGATCGCGATAAGCGGAAAAACATGTGAAAGTCATAAGGCTGACACGAATGCCAGTCAAACTGAGCAGCAGCATTTAGCAGCGAATTTCGCAAAAACAGAAGCAGAAAAAAAGAAAAAACAATTCTAAAAGCGAAAATATTGTCATTCCGAAATCGATCAAAATAGCAGACAGCAGACAAAATTCTCACGAAACAAGAAATACAAATGCAGGCATGATTAATTACATTTTAAATGAAATGAAAAACACCAAACAAACTGTTGCAAGTGGGCGAAAATTCAGCGCTGTACAACATTGCGTATGAGTGTTGTCTACTAGGCAGCTGTTCGAACGTGTCTTCACTAACGCTCTCTCTCGCCCTCGCTCTCTCTCTCTCTCTCACTCTCTCTCTCTCTGTTGCCAGTGATTATCAGCTGTTTGCTGTGCTACATTTTGTAACTAGTTCGCCTCCCACTCTGTCCTGCACTGCGCGCTCTCTCGCTCTTGCTCTCTCTCTCACACACAGTGTTGCTCTAATTTGCCTAAATAAAAATATTCGCATGCTCACACAAATTCATTTAAAAACAATTTGTGCTTTTTATTATATAAATAAATTAACAACAGCTGCGCGCTCTCTACCTCTCTCTTTGCCATAGTTTGGCGCTCTCTTTAGTCGCGCTCTTTGACATTCTATTTGAGCTATTTTGTGCTTTGGCTACCAGCAAATTATATTAATTGTTTACATACGAATCTCTTTCTTATTTTGTTTTTTTGTTACGGCGCACTTTAGTTGACTCTCGCGTGTTTTTATTGAGCATATTTATTATAAATTTTATTGGCAACGGCGAAGCGAGCGGCAAACGCGTTTCGAACGTGGCGCGATTTCAGTTTTTTTTTATTTTCAATAATCTTTATTGGCCGTTTGACAAATTCGAAAACGCTTCAATTGATTTATTTGATTTTATTACCGCTCGATTTCAAAACATTTTGTTGTGACTGTGCGTGTGTGTGTGCGCGCTCGTGTGCGTGTGTCTGCTACAATACGATCATGTAAATCGGATCGAAATCGTAAATTTTTTTGTGAATCGCTTTGAATGCATTTTAGGCACATGTACATAAGTGCAAGCCGAATGCGATTTTTACGTGCTTTATAGCCGATTACAGAGAATGCTGCTCTAGATGTAATAAATGCGGGGGGACCACACGGATGAATTGATATGGCCTGTGTATAAGTATTTTTATACAATAAACTGAACCAACTTTGGCACATACAATACAGCAAAATTTAAACAGAAAAGTACCAAATATTTAGTACACAATATAATTGTTAAGCTGATCATAAATAACAAGAGTAATTCGATTTATACATATTTCCTAGAAATTCCCTCCAAAATATATTTAATATATTAAAAAGTAAAGTAATTAATATTTTATTATACCCTTGTAGAGGGTACATTCTAGATCAGCATCAACAGTTGATATAGCCAAGTCCGTCTGTCCGTTTTAAAGCTATCGTATTGAATATATAGGAATTTTGTAGGCAGTATATATTTTGGAACCGGCCCGATCGGACGACTATTTCATATAGCTGCCATAGGAATGATCGGTTCGCAAATAGGTTCTTGTATGAAAACATATTTGATTATCAAGATTCCGTACCAAAACTATGCATTTATAAGTTTCTACATATTTGCAAAATCTTATCAATATCGGATAACTATCTTACTATCTTACGCAAATTCAGAATTTATATGTTTTACATGTATATAACTAATATATCATATATCTGTCATAGGAACGATCGGTCGACAAGTTGGTTCTGATATGCAAAGCTTTTTTATAAGTATATTAAGATAAGTTAACAAAACTCGGGATTTATTAGTTCCATCATGATCCTCATATATATGCAAAATCTTATCAACATCGGACCACTATATCATATAGCTGCTCTAGGAAAGATCGGTGGATTAATAGGTTCTTCTATGGCAAAATATTCGGTTTTCAAAGATATTTGCAACAAACGCAGCGTTTTTGAGCTGCAATATTATCACAAAAGGGAAATGTTTAAAAGGCTATGAAATCTTCAGCGGGCCGAAGATATTCCTACTTTTTCGATCTCGCTTTATACATAACAATTTTTCATATTTAAAATTGAACTAAGTATATTATTGCAGCATACTATAAAAAAGTTATGCAGACAAAGCGTTTTTTAGAAAATTATCTATTCTCGGAGCTCTTTAAATAAAAAGTGTGCGCTCTCGAAAGATATATATAAAACTCTTATAAATTAATCAGCTTCATATAAATAAACCAGATTTCCTATTAATACGAATTCTTCTAATTTTTTTTTTTTGGCAATTTGTTTACAACAATTAGTAAAACGATGTTTTTTTGCCAACTAAATGAGCTTTTGCAGACGTATGTCTGTTTCAGCCTTCCATTTCGTACACACTCTCGAAAAATTCTAGAATGTCAGGTGCTCCAGACACGTCTATATATCACAGAGAGTTTTTGGTGTTTAACGGGCAGAGTCTGAGGGTGTTTTTTATTTTGTTTTTTTTGGACAAGCCTCCATTACACTGAATTCTTATGCCCCATACCCCGCATGTCAATTGTCTGCAGGGCCTGCATGCTCCACTTGATCTTGTCGCTGTCGCTGTCGCTGTCGCCAGGGGTATACATTAATCCAGTTTCGTGCCGGCGGCTGTGCCTGTTTCAGTTGCTGTTGTTGCAGTCAACGGCGCATTTACCTAAATTGGAATTTCCGGTAAACAGTAATGAAAATCGTAGCAATCAAACCGAAAAAACACAAACTCACACATACACTGAGCGCTATGTATACAAAAAATAACACATTTGCAAATATAATAAAAAAAAAAACGACCAACGTATACCCGTACACAGTTCAAGAAGTGCCAAAAGGGCCATTGACATTGGTTTATTTTTGGCGCATTTAGGGATTTCATATGGCAGATCAGATCAGATCGAGTCACTTTCGCTTTTAAATCGAGCTTTCGATTTAAAGCTGCACAGCTATGAGTATTCAGTGTTGAGAAGCGTTAGGTAATGCGCTTGGATTAATACTATTATGCGTATCCAGTGTTGAGAAGCGTTAGGCTATAAGTTGGGATTAATAATATTATGCGTATGAAGTGTTGAAAGGAGTTAGGCTATAATGACTAAGGCTGTCTGCACAGCTATGAGTATCCAGTGTTGAAAATCGTTAGGTTATAGGCTAGGATTAATAAAATTAAGCGTATCTAGTGTTGAAAAGCGTTTTGGTGATAAGGCCTTGTGGGCAGCTATGAGTGCAATAAAATGCCAAGACACACGTACACGCATATATGCTCGTAGATACACTTACCCCGGGCACATTGATATGCAAATGAATGTCACCATCTTAAATGAAATAATCGTCTTAAACGAACGCTGTGCCGGCCGTCTTGCTAAATCGCTCGGCTTAATTGCTTTTCTCAGTGCCCTGAGAGAAGATGAGAGAGAGAGAGAGGGGGAGAAAGAGAGAGAGAGAGAGAGAGAGCGCGCGAGAGAGGGTTGAAACATTTAAGAGCTTATTTTTTATGAGCGCCTTTAATGACTTATTTACTTAATAATCATTTTTATTGCATATCAGAAAACGTTTCTCAACCACTTTCAATGTCATTCGTTGAGTGTTCAGGGTGGAAGCAAACCAATCCTTCGACATCTTTCTAAATTTAGTAAACTTTCTGTAAACATTGAAATAGTAACATAGCCACAAATATAAAGAACTTTTCTCGAATTCTATAAACAAATTTTGTTATGTTCAAAATTGGGTTACAATGCTGTAAACAATATGAACTCTGATTGTACTTTAGTTCCCGCCGAATTCAGCATAAATTCCAGAAAATGGTATATGTACATATTGGTTTTATGAACAGGTATGAAAAGTTCTGAAAAAATGTTGCGCATAACTTGAAATGATTTACTATGAAAGCAAATAAATCAATCATTGTTGATTTAAATTTATGAAACCAACGAAAGCTTTCTGTAATTCCCAAAAATTGAGAAAAAAAAACAAAGTGAATTTTTCTGATGTGCATAAAATAAAATCAAAACCTATTTCATCAAGGTTTCGACACAAATTCAAATAACGCACAAGCATATAGAATTTGATGTTGAGGAGGGAGCTCTTCAAAGCGAGCACCCGATATACCGATCTCTACAGAATTGATAGGTGTTGATATGTGGATGCCGAGCGATTGCCAAATCGACGATTCGTTCGCCAGTGCCACCAAATAAGAATCAGAATCACTTTGCGGTTGCTTATGCGGCGCGAATATTAATTGACTTATAAAACGAATCAACGAAATATGCCAATAAAAATATTCCAAGCATTTCGACAGAGTGTTGGCGGTGTGGGGGGGTTGGTGGGGCAGGCAGGCGCCAAACCGGGCAGCCATGCACCAACTATAGACAAATACAATACTTACGATAATAAAAAATATATATGTATATATTTTTTTATTGCTTTGTACTTATTAGTTTTATGTACTAATTGCGGTTTCTGCGGCCAATTGTTGTCCAACGTTTAAAACTGGGGCTACGCTTGGAGCACGCATCCCAACTGAGGCAGGAAAGTTGTAAAACTGTTAATAGGTAGAGTCATATATATATATATATATGCGCGGGCACTTGACTAAACAATCTATAGGCCCTATGGCACATGTGCATACATACGATATTATAGAAAATAAAAAAAATATTTTTGGGACGCTTTTATTTCCCCCTTATAAACGCGATGCAACGTTTCCGGCCACAATATCCGTGTTTGCGTTGGAAACTTGTGTGTTAACTAAAAAATGTTGGGAAAAACTTTTTGCTTCCGTTAGAAATTGTCGAGTTTTCTATTTTGTATGCAGCCATACCACCGTTAGCCACAAGTTCAACCTGCCAGCTGCCTGCTTTATACTTTAGTTTTAATTCGTCTCTCTTCCCCGCATGCTATAATATTTATTGTTGTTGCTGTTGTTGCAATGTTGCTGCTTTACCATGCGCATAATTAATTAACATTTTAATAATTGCTATGCTTTTCTATTTTCTATGTTTTGCAGGTTTCCAATTGTGTGTGTCCAAAACTTTGACTGGCCATATCCGCCGGAAGCACCTTAACGGGCCAGAACAAGTGCAAAGCCCCTGAACTGAACTGAACCAAACTGAGCTCCACTGAGCCCGGCTGAGCTCTCTATAGCTCCCCAAATGGCAGACTAAACAATCGATACATTGGGCAAGACTTTGTGGCAATTATCAACATGTCATTGGGTAAGTACTGGGCAATCAATTTTTTATACCCTGTAACCATAAAATGGCTAACACATGTACTATAAACATAAAATAATCAAATTATTCAAGATTTCTTTTGAATAATAATGCGCGGATGCGCTGATACTATACATATTAAGATCTCTGCAAAGTCGGCAACTCAAAAGTAGATAGTATATAGCTGTACAGATATAGTCTAGAGATTCTCCTCTAAAAAAAATCTGTAAAAATCGAATATTATCTCTATATATAAAACTGTTTGTCCTGACTGACTGACTGACTGCCTGACTGACTGACTGACTGACTGACTGATTGGTGATCAACGCACAGCCCAAACCGTAAGAGCTACGAAGCTGAAATTTTCACTGTAGTTACCTTATGTGATGTAGGTGTACGTTAAGACGGGGTTTCGGGAAATTCCACCCGCAAGTGTGGAAAAATCGCGAAAAACGTTTGTATGTAACTTTTTTGTTTACCATCCGATCGGCCCCAAACTTATTTTCAAAGATCTTTGTTCAAATTCATTTGAGGGGTGTTTCACACTTTTTGAAAAATCCATTCCTCCTTGGTGGAAATGGAGGTCAAAGATTTGGTGGGTGACGTTTCGCGCTCAAATTCGTTTCCAAAGATCTATAAGAAAAATCATTTGAGACGTGTTTCACATTTTTCGCAAAATCTAAACTCCTTCGGTGGAAAATGCATTTCAAAGTTTTTTTTTGTGAATTTTAAGTTTGTTTGATCAGTTTCCGATCAGTTTCAAAATCATTTTCAAAGCTTTTTGAAAACATTGATTTTATAACATACGTGCTACGGGCAAGGCCGGGTTATACCCGCTAGTCTACATATAAAATATAGGTAGAAATATATATTTTTGGCTTAAATCTCCTAGTATTCTCTAGGGTATTCTTTCCAACAACGTGGGGCTTTTAATTGCAAAAGCTAAAAATGCTTCATTAACAATAGACCACAGGTGTTTCTTAAGCATATATGCGTGTGCATATGTCTATAATTTTTTGTATATTATTTAAATTTAAAATGATAAACAAATATTTTATGCAAAGATTTAAAGAGGCAATAGCTTAAACAGCACTAATAAAAGCTTTATTTTTGAATCAGATGCTAATCTCTGGAACCCTTTTTTTTTTTTATAGAATTTCTTTTATCACTTAAAAAAAAAAGAAGAAGAATATTAACTAAACTGTTGATTTTTTATAATGTAAGTGACACTATTGCTGGTATAGATACTTCCTATACTACATTTCCGTTGTTAAAAAGCTTATTGATTTATTGATATTTCCGAAAGTTATGCCGAATAAAATCGCACAACGCCCATCAAAAAATTTTCAACATTTTTTAAAAATATAAAGAACCGTTAAAAGGTATTTGCAAAAAAATATTTAAAATTCCATTGCTCTGTCAAAGAAAATCGGTTTCATCAAACCATAAACATAAATATAAAGATAGTTCGCAGCAGCTATGCAAAAAGCCAAATGCACATTAAATGTAAACTTTGTAGCAATGGAACCTTATAAGATATGCCTTGAGTTCCATTGGAGAATGCCCCATAAGGAGATGATTTCTCCAATCGAACTCTAAGCAAGGCATAGAGCTCCTTCTCCTTATGGGGCATGCTCTATGCCTTGCCTTGCCTTGCACCTTCTCCTTCTGGGGCATGCTCTATGCCGTGCCTAGCGTTGCACCTTCTCTTTCTGGCGTTGCATTGGAGCATGTCCAGTGCATGGCATAAACATGACAAAAACATAAACCCGTTCACGCCTCACACAGAATTTGACACCAAATCGAGTGCACATAAGTGGTTAGGCTGGGCCTTTGTCCATTTATGTGGCAACAACACGCAGCAATAGCTAATGAGTATTTAACCGAGGGACAAGACTACTGTTAAAGTGCACGACAACTGTAACATGTACATTAGCAATTTCCCAGAACGCCAACGCATTTATCTTGGACACATAGTGCAACTGCTACCCATATTCAGAGCAGGAGCCACGCCAACGATTAGTCCGAGAGCAGCCCACTGAAATTTTGATCGAGTTGAAGCCAGCAACAACAACAACAACAACAACAACAATAACAACAATAGCAACAAACAAAACAAACAATGGGCGTACTTTAAACATGCAAAGATTGTGTACTAGGCACGCCTTGGTCTGGAGACCCCAATGCCACCTAAAGAAAACTGCAAAGTGCGGCATTTTCCCAGCGCCGCAAATGATGCGTAGTCAACTGAGACGCCAGTTGTTTAGGCTGTTGCCTGGGAAAAGACAACTGAAAAGAATTGCTATATTTGGCAACACGAATATTAAATACCCTTTAAGAGATATTTATTTCCAATTGATTGTTTCTATGGAAGTTTATAATAGAGTAGTTCGATTTGATAAAGTATGTTGGGAGAAGAGTAAAGCCTCGCAGTTGATGAGTTCGGGACATATATTTAGAAATCTTGAAAAACAAAGGAATGTTCCATAAGTTCAATTTAGCACCAATTTGTGCGGTCTTAATAAGATTTGGCTCATATATCACCTGCTTAGTTAGGCTAGTTTACTCTGTTTTGTCCAGGTATCTTGAAACACAAAACAGACATTTTTTTCGACCAATCCATGTCCCCTATTAGATATAGTACTCCGATATAATCGTAAATGCGATATTTAGTCAATATCTTTTCAAAATCAAAAGAGTTTTTCGAACAAGACCAATCAGCCCATGTAAGCTATATGATATAGTGCTCGAATCGAACCGATTCCGACAATGTAACATCTTACATATTAACCGGCAGTTAGACGTGACTATATCTAAGCGACTATTGAAACTGTGCGCATTTTGTGACAAAACTGTAATGCCCTGTGCAAGGGTATAAGAAACTGCTCGATCTAGAAGTATCTACGTAGTGTGGCACTTATCCAATAGATACGCAGCGCCCAGACACAGTTGCAGACATAGTGCGATCAATTCTGACTCACTGAAAGACACCGTGGCGAGGTCAGCCATCAATTTGTGAACGACTGCCAGCACGATCAACTATAACAATAATGCATAATTATAATTATAATAATAACAATAATAATGCTATGCAATAATCAAAGGACAGCTTGCGATAATAAATAACAAATCAAATGTCGAGCAGGCATCTAATTAGTCAGATTTTGTGGCATGTACAAGCGATTGTTATCGCATGGCCTGAACTGTGCGGCATGTCCCCCCCGCACCTACCTAGACCCAAGCGCATGTCCAGCATCAGCTACAGCCGCGCAGTTGCCACAGTTGAATACTATTTTGTTTTTATTTATGTTGACTAGAATAAATAATCACAGAGCTGATATGGGAAATGGCGCAATTAAAACACAAAACTCGCGCGTCGCACGCATTCAGCCAGAGGCACAGATACAGTTGCATATACAGATACAGATACAGATACAGATACAGTTGCAGATACAGATACAGTTGCAGACACGCACACATAAGCACAGACATCGCTATTAGCTGTAGAGAGCCACTCGTCCAACCCTCGTCCATCCGTTGTCCGTCTGTCAAACAGCCTGCCAGGCAGTCTCCTCTGCCTCCACTGTCGCCTCTGTTACCCCTCGGCCCGCATTCTGAAATTTATATAAATAGTTTGTCGTCATTGTCGTTGACGCTATGTAAAATCATTCATTAAATCCGCATTGAATTTCATTCATTCGCGCTTTTTAATTGCACTCATTGAGCAGATCTGCGCGATTCGGTCCAGTGTTTAGCATTGCCCATTCGCAGTTGTGCCCCTAACTCATTCACAATAGTCGCTAACAGTTCTTTGACTTTACTCAATCACATTATGTGACATACCATATTCCCATCCAAGGCGCGATCTCATTATTTAAATTGTTTAGGCGTTGGTATTAAGATTAAGATCAGGGAAAAACAAATATCTGTTCTTTAAACTGACCCCTTCATAATTCCTAAGGAACAAGGGGAACACGGGGCTTTCAAAATTTTAATTACCTTAAGATTTTGCTTGAAATATATATAAAATTTAAATTTGAGAGGAACTGCTGTGGTATTTTAAACATATTCTATAGTAATATTTATTATCGAATCCGTGAAATATGCTTAAGCTTATACTATATACTTATAATACAAACAAAACCTACTTATTAAGCTTAGTGTAGCTAGCTCTAATGAGTTTCGATAAGACATCGATCGATTAGGCGGAAAGACACACAGACGGTCAGACAGAGAGAAATGTCTGCCTGATCAAGAATATATATATATATATCCTTTAATGTCCAAGATTCTTCCGGGTATATACGACCATTTGCGAAAGACCATTACACCCTTGATAGCAATTTTTAATGGGTTCAGGGTATAAGCTCTCCTTTCCTGTCGATAGCATCTTATTTCCAATATTGTGCATGGTAAAAATTCTGTACAGCTTGACCGCAATCAAACTTTTAAACATCTACTTGTGTAGATATAGATTAGATATCTATCTTGAGAGAGATAATTAGATATGAATCAAGTAGATATGCCTATTCTTAGATCTGGTGAATCCTCATTTTTTTTGGGAAACCAACTCATTAATGTATAATTAACTTTTAAACAATGCCTGACGTAAATAATTAAAAATCCAAACACAAATTTCTCTCACGGGCATTTCGTGAATATGAGAATATGAACATGGCCAAATGAGTCAGCTGAGTAATGCACCTTAAATATTAATTTAATGTTTTGTAAATATTTACGCAAATTAATTGTTGCTTGTGCGTGCAACACTCAATGCTGCTGCTGCTGCAATTGGCAAGGCCTTTGTTTTGCCCGGGGCCGACAAAGAGCGAAAGGCCAGAGAATAACAAGAGAAGACGAGACAATCGAAGTGCCGTCTCCACAATTGGCAGCTGGCAGCGGCCAGCGATAAAGAAATCTATCAGAGAAATGTGGACCACTGGCCCCAATTGGACTCGAATGCTGTCTCATTGCCAATGATGACGTCACAGCGACGATCTGCT